GCAAGCTGTCCTCTGATTCAGTTGTGGTATTGGGTCTGCCCGACATCTTCCTGTCACTTTGCTGCAGTTTCTGAGTAACTTTTGATAGTGAAAGAAACTGTACTCTCTGACACCCTGACTCTCTTTGCAATTTCTCTGTAGGAAAAACCTAAATTTTTAAGTGTTACGATGGTCTGTGTCTCTTCCATTGTTAATTGCTTTTTTTCTCACCATTTTTGTAGCAACACACTTCTTTCAGCAGTATAATACTGATCAACTGATGCTCAAGAGGGTATGATACTGCAGTGACGCAGACAAAGGGGGTTGTAAGTAATCCAAAAAATTGGGATCACCTGTTGGAATTTGCAGCACCAGCTTTCAAGCCTTGATCAACCTCCTACAGAACAGTTTTGAATTGTTAACCCATTTTGAGTTCCCTGAAAAAATGTCATGAAGAGGCTGTGTGCAGGCAGAGAAGCACCTAAAATGCAGACTTCACAGAGCGAAAAAGTGAACTCAAAAAGCAGCTTTATTTCTGACTCAAGGGTAAAACAATAAAAACTACACTGTGGAAGTAATAACTAAACATAGAGTGAGGCACACAGGGAAACACAGCCATGAATGAGGGAGATCGCAACACAGACCAAGGAAAACACAGGGCTAAAATACACAGAGGGATAAGGAGGGAATGAGAGACACAAAGGGAGCACAGCTGGGAGTAATCAAACCTGAGAAGACCAAGAGGAAGCAAAACGGTAAACATTAACATAGGACACGGACTGTCAAAGTAAAACAGGAAACATAACACAGATGCAGACTTGACAAGGGGATACAAACCAAGCAGTCAAGTCCCTTGAAACTGATGAAATGAAAATGAAAAGTGAAAAACTGCAGTTCAGTCACATCTTGATTGATTTGCATGATTTTATTTAACAACCATTATGGCAGTGTAGAAGCAAAATTACAAAAACAGACATTTAGTTTTGATCTACCATAAAAAACCATTAGATTTAGAGAAGCACATACTCAAGATAAGTAGTGTTTGATAAGCTATATTTAGACAAATGATTACAGTTGATGATTTTCTTGTCTTTAATTTTGTTTTCTCTGTGGTGAGCAGCTGTGATCTCCTGAAGGAGGCGCCCTTCTCCTCCTGTAACAGTGACATTGACCCAGAGCCCTACATAACCGCCTGCACCGACACTTTGTGCAAATATCCTGCAGTGGACGGACTCAACTGTCAGTTCCTGAAGGCCTACGCCAGAGCCTGCAGTCTACACAACCACGCTCTGGATGGCTGGACATCAAAGACCAGCTGCTGTAAGACCTTATTAAGACCTTAATAAGCTCTCCTTTGTTAAAGACCTGAACTCTGGAGTTTTAGAGCTCACGTGTTTTCAGGATAATACATCAGTGTGTTCCTCTGTAGCCTCTGAGGCCTTCTGTCAGGACAGGACCTGCAGTGATCACGAGTTCTGTGGTGAGAAGACGGTCGGTGGTGACACTCGCTGCTTCTGTCGGGCCATTTTTGCCTCCAAGTACCAAGAAAACAACTCTTTGGGTACGACAGCTGTGACATCACCATGACAACAGGGCTGAATAATGGAGGAAAACTTCTAACTGTGATTTTTCTGACTGATATTTTGATGTTCAGGTGATCCAACGGTCTGCATGCAGGACTCTGCTTCACTAACTCTGGTCGGTTGTCTCCTGGAGGACAAAGGCATCGACTACTCTGCCTTACACCTCAACGACCC